GAGTGAAGCTCCAACACTGGGAAATCGACATTGGACCCCCGTGTCTAAGAGTCCACCAGCCACAAAAGCAAAAAAACAAAAAGTGACAAAAAACGATTGAGTGCACCACGCGTAGCATCGCCAAAACGAGTGGGTTGCGCGTAAGCCCCAGAAGTCTCATGCTGAGGCACATCCAGTAGTCAATGTGCAAAGGGAGCTGCAAATGCGACAAATCCTGTCGCAGGCGCAGCCCCTCAAACAAAGGCAAACAAAAGGGGAGCTGTAAGTCAAGTTTGACCACGGCAAAAGGTTGCACTGGATTCAGCAATCCAGCAGCTTCAGCAAGGATAAGCCTTCATATTCACTGAGAGTTAATAGGGCTCCTTGATATGCTGCCTGTTTGTTTCTTGCGTGGCTGGAATGTTTTAATTGGTTTCTGCTTTGGTGTCTTTCTTTCACCGTCACCGTCTTTGCCCTCGGGCCTTGCGAACATGTGTCACCTGCAGTTGAACATGGCCAGGCAGCTGTCAGGAAGAATGCGTGAGGTCCAGTAATGGGAGAGCAGCGGAATGCGTTCCGGCGGTGCTGTTCTTTTGCAACGTTCCCCGTGGCTGTGGTTCCAGAAATGATGGCTGTGGTTCTGCAAGTCTTGTCGCCGATCTGTAAATCTTGTAGTGGCTCGTCTCTATTCAACATGACTGACGTGAACCATGTGGGCATTGCTTTTTAGAGAGCCCGGGATTATACACTGCTGGGGAGGCTGCCCGGGGTCTTCGCGGGGCCAGAATTCGTGGAAGGTATGGCTTCGCGAGGGGGCTTCGCGGCAAGACTGTGGCTTTGCGGGGTGGCTTCGCAGGGCTTCGCCGGGCGAGGGCCTTCGCGGATGCTTGTTCCACAAACATCTCTGACGTCTTCGCTCTCATGTAGTTGAATCAAGTTGAGTCCAGGCGAAAGGGGGCGATGACAGGCGGTAAGAGACACTGAGCTTCAGGACTAGGGGACGCTGGGCCTCAAAGGGGCGGAGCATGGACGTTGGACTGCGGTGACTTCGCGGAGGCTTCGCGGGGGCTTCGCAGAGGCTTCGCGAAAACGTTCCATCGTTTCTAGCAAAACCGGGCCTGAAACGCACAGAGCTCTTCCGGTCGTCTTCCTGTTCTGACGGTAATCTTCCTGCAGTCTTGTCATAGCCTTCTGACTCTAAACATCAACCTTTGGCATGCTACTGCCATGAAAGCACACAACACACTTGCCATGAAAGCACATAACACACTCCAACCACGAAGTGGCTTCGCAAAGCTTCGCGGGCCTTCGCGGCAAACAATGTGTTGCACAAGTGCCTTCGCGGACCTTTTGGGAGTTCCCCACGAAGCTAAAATCCATCATCTGAGAAAAAAACACTGTGAAATGTGGATATATAAATATATGTGGATACAAATAGGCTTGACAGCGACCGGCCCATCCCTGAAACGAAACAAGTGAAGCAACAACACAATACCGTGATGCATCTGCTCGAACAAGCCGAGTAGGGCTATGTGTTGTTCGCTACTTTCAATGCGGCTCAGCGTCTGCGAATGAGGGTGTTGGCTTGCAGGTATGGATTTGTTTGCGGATGTGCGATTGTGCGATTGTGCGACTATGCGATTGTGCGATTGTGCGTGCGTGCCATTGCGCGATTGTGAGATTGTGTGATTGTGCGATTGTGCGTGCGTGCGTGCGTGGGTGGGTGGGTGGGTGGGTGTGCGTGTGTGTGCATGCAGTATCGTCAGTGTGGGCAAGTGTGCGCAAGTGTGCGTTCGTGCATGCGGCATTTGCGTGCGAGCATGTGCGAGTGCGTGAGGGGCGCGTATTAAGTGGATGGGTGGCTGGGTGGGTCGGTTTGGGAGTGCGTGTTTGTTAGCTTGCTTGTTTGTCTGCCTGCCTGCTTGCTTGGATGGTTGGTTGTTTGTGTGATGCTTTCGGTTTGCTTGTTTGTTTGTTTGTTTGTTTGTTTGGTTGTTTGGTTGTTTGTTTGATTTGTTGCTTGCTTGTTTGATTTGCTTGTTTGCTTGTTTCTATCTTTCGTGATTCCTATATTTCTTTCATGGTTTTGTTTGCTTGCCTGTTTGTTGGTTTGCTTGCCTTTTTTTTTTGCGGAAGTGTTACATGGACTTGCAGGACATGACGCATCTATCCAAACAGGTCTTGATCACCCCAAGAGATAATACTAATAAAAGGCAACCAAGTTTTGCAGCTGACCCCCTTGCAACCGCAAATTTTTGCCTGGACCTCCGCACAAAGCCGCGCTTCCAATTGTTGCTGGCCGCTTTGGCCAGAGAAAGCTTCTCCCTCCACCAGTTTCATGGCTTAGGGCGCGCATGGCTTCGGGCATTCTCTCTCTCCAGTTTGGTCCAAAGATTGTCTGGCCTGTTTGAACGTTTCCTCAAAACGGGGCCCCCAGATTTTCGGCCAGCCCACTCCAGCTTTTCTGCGTGAGTCCTTGTCCGGCTCCGAGTTCTCGAGGAAATCCGCTACAGCCTGGCGTAGATCTGGGGGCTTGCATGCTCAAAACGAGGTCTGGATGATCCATACTGTGGATGGACGAAATCCTGCAGCACTTTAAAACCATGAGAAACCACTGTTTGTTGGCATTTATAGGGGAATCATCATTCTATGGTTTCTCAGGTGATGCAGGATTTCGTCCATCCACAGTAGGCTTCGGAGGAATCGCACAAATCAGCATTCCCAGCCATAGGGCGATATTGGAGATATGGCTGTGGGTCAAAACCCCGTACCCCTGGTGAACATCAAAATAGGTGGCAAATGGATATTCAGCCACCCCAAAATGGAGCCATAGGTTATGTCCCATGGCCATCCCTTCAAACAGCTCTTCCAAAAGTCAGCCCCCAGACAAAACCTCGAAATCCCGGCAAAAGCTGAAACAAGTGGATTCCCAGGCGGAGTCCTGGAAGAACACTCAATGAGGCCAGCCAAGGTCCTCCAGTAGAGAGGTTAGAATAAGGGTACCCTTTTTTCTGCAGTCTATTTTAGTAGGGGAACCCTCCCCAAAAAAAAGTGTTCAAAGGGCACCTAGTAACCTAGTAGGGGGACCTAGATCAAGCAAAGGCAGCCAAGGGCCTCCTTGGAATGCTCGCGTATCACCAGCCGAAACCAGAGCCTGAGCAGAGCCGAGCCGAAATCGGGGCTCGTCGGATGCGGAGCGTTTTTACGCACTGGGGGATTAGCAGGTCGCGAATCCTCTGGGCAAAACTTGGCATTGCATCTCTTCCAACATGGCACGTGCCGGAGACAACATCAAGAACAGAAACTGATGCAAATTCCAGAGGCCCAAGACGTACATGAAGCAAACACTGAGCTTTCTCACATCGAGATCCTATGTTGCAGCTCCTGGCGGTTTTGCTTCCATTGGGTCAGCTAACCGGGCCACCGCTCAGCCGCTAAGCTGCGGGCGGCGTCGTGTCATCCAATAGCCGGGGGTTGCGGATCAAGGTGAAAGCCTCTGCCGGCGACAGGGCCAGGGTGAAGCTGACGCGTACCTGGTGAATCTGACTCCGTGTGAGTCTTAACCAGTCGCCACAGCTGGTGCAACGGCAGTTAGAGCTTGAGGCCGGGTTTCCGGACTTGAGACTGAGTCTGGAAATATGACTTAGCATACTCTTTCTAAGATATCCTAGCAAATGCTACATAAACTCTACATAACTCCAAAGGTGAAGTGAGATGATGCATCATAAAACCAAACACACAAAGCTCAAATGATGGCATCATGCCAGGAGCCTTGCCATTTTCTTGAGGACCTATGCATGGAGGTGCTAAATACAAACATCCATCCTGAACCCGACCCAACCATCCAAGATACGCGGCCAGAAACAGATCAGCGCCAGCCCTAGGAAAAGTACATTACAATACATTACATACATATTGCGCGCATAGAGGCAATAATTGCATCTGCGAGTCATTTGGAAGGTCCTGACATTCATTGCAGCACGACCTGCCCTCAACCAAACCACGGGCCCCGACGCTTGCCGTTTGCCAAGTCGCCGGGGGTGGCTTGTGGTTTCCCACTAGTCGCGTATATGTGTATCCTCGGCTCAGGCCAAAGCCAGGACCATGCAAAGCATCACAGGATTCCGGACATTTGAGAGGCGCCCTTGTTTGAAGCGGCGCAGCCAGCCTCTTCGAACGCGAAAATGTTGCCCTGAGCCAGTGCTTGACTTGGCTGCTGGTTGAGTTGCTGTACCCCGCAGCAGCGATGCAGCAGCAGCCGGCTGATAGCCAGGCGGAAGGCATGCTGAAAACCAGAGCTGCAGCCAGTTTGTTTGGCCAAGTGACATCTGGACACGCCTATAAAATGCACATCTCTTCTCACACCAAACGTCACTGGGCTGTTTGTCATGAGTCACTTTTAGCTTCTGGGGATCATTGTTCTTTTCGCGGGACAACATTGATGTGCGTGGTCTGCAGGTGGACGTCTGGAACAGTGGCACACCAAAAGCCCAAAGCAGTTGAACAACTAATATCCTTCCCGCAACGGTTCATCCTGCAGAGCTCTGCCTGCCTTGGCCGCGCAGCCGCAACTAAAGCAGAAAACGGATTTGAGCCGTTGACGGCTCCGAACACCGGGAAAAAGCAACTTGCTGCAAGAAGTTGCACTAAGGCTACACCTGGCAGCTGGCACACAATATGGCTACCTATTGGGAGCTCGTGTTGCCGTTGAGTTCAATGCACTTCGCGGCTTAAATTTCAGGCGAGTGGTAAACACATGCGCATGTGTTCAAATTGTTTTCTCTCTCTCTCTCTGATTTCTGAGCTCTTCGCACCGCATTCTCTGAAGCGAAGTGTGGCTTAGCCACACAGAATCCGATTCAGTCACCTGCACACCAAAAACTCCGGAGCCCACATTTGTTGGCTTTGCCTGACTTGTGATTCTCCGAAACAGCTCACGGGCTGCATATAAAAAGCACGGAACGGTTGCCAGCAACCCCTTGACTAGTTCACCCCCCATCACCCCCCACTTCATCTCTGAACACCAAACAACACTGGCAGGATGGACAAGGGATCAGCTGATCTGAAGCAAAAGCTGTCCAGCTAGCAACCATAAAATTTCCAAGGCCCCTTCAGGCTTCAAAACCCAAATTGGCCCTTTTCGGCTTCTTTGGCTTTGTGACAAACCCGTCGAGTACGAGAAACAACACTGTCACCGCTGGACGCTGCCGCCATCAAGCCAAGCAAAAGCCTCTGAAACGGACATGCGACGTCCAGTGGCCCGAGATCGATTCACGAATCTGGGCAAGCCGCGAATCCCTATACCGCTCAAGCTGGACATCCTACAGAACCCGAAGGGATCTTCATGGGTGTTCCATGTCATAATTCGGCGTGTCAATGAGTCAGCCGCCGCTTTCTCTATGGCTCGCTCAGATTCATGGCGTTGGCGCCACCGCCGACTCATACAGCTCGCTGCGGATCAGGTAGTCGTACAAATCCCCGGTTTGCTCCGCCGGTTTGCTCCGCGCGCGAGGGGCGGGCACCAAGAAGTGGGCAAAGGCGTCCCAGAACTTCAGCAGAGTGGCCAGCACCATGCAGGCCTCGTTGCGAAACGAGGCATGCAAGCCTGCCAGGCACTGAAACCTACTCTGGATGAACGAAATCCTGCACCACCTGAGAAACCCTGGAATGATGATTCCCCTGGAAATACCAACAAACAGTGGACTCCCTTGGTTTCAAAGCGGTGCAGGATTTCGTCCATCCACAGTATGTGCCTACGTGTTTCCGCTGGCTGCTGAAACTGCGGGGATCATGTCATGCGCTCTGAAAGCTACTTCTCACATGATATTTAGAGATGGGTCAAACAAACATGTAGACTGGACTGTGAGCGACTTCCCTGTACTTCCCTGTGCCTCCTTGCTCCCACGCAAACCGACAATTACTGCCTAACCTATTTAGCTGGAGTCTTCAGACACAAGCTCTACATTTCAGAGGGCCTGCAAGGAAACAAATAAGCAACCGCAAGCGCTACGCCGTACGCTTCCTTGCCGAGAGACAAAGCCCGGACCAGCACCCCAACGAAAGTCGAACACCGAGTTGTCGTCACTGGAGATGCTTGGAAAGGATTGCCAGCAAACGTAGCGGAAGGTCATCAAGCTGGACAGGGTACTGAACGCCCCCATGACTGAGGTGACGACACCAAAAGTGGCCTGACAGTTCACGTCACCAAAGGCGGTTGCTCGTTGCAGGTTGGTCGCCATTTGGGGGACCTGCGTCACAATTGCCATGATGATGAGAGAGAACGTGGAACTGGCCGATTCATGGCAGCTCTCACACATCTCGGCAGATGAGGGAATCGCGCCTCCAGACAGGCCTTCCAGGGTACCCCACTTGTTTCAAAATGACATCATCTGCTCGCAATCGCCTCCAACATGTTCAAGAGGTTCATGGTCTAACACAAATTTTCGCACCCCGTTGCCTTCCACCGCATTGCCCAAAGTGCCCACGTCGGGAATGGCAAAGTTCTGCCAGCACGCATCGGGGTCATCGAAGGTCACGAAACGCTGAAAGCGTCCTGGCTCCAGCTCCTCCATCTCCCCCAGCAAGAGGCCGCCACCCTGAAAACGCTGCGCGCACTTGGCCTTGGTCACGAAACCCCAGCCCAAGCGAGCGGGTTGAAGCCTCTTCCGTGCTTGCAAAACGACCCCTCCATTTGCTTAAGCCCACTGGAACAAGTAAACATAATATGTCCAGTCGTGAAATCGATTCCCTGTAAAACCTCCAAGGGAAATTAAACTAGCTTCATTTCAGCAAATGGAAGACACCCCGCATGACATGACATGCATTTAGTGCATGCGAGTCCATGTTGGCGACTGGCGACTGGGTCGTTAGAAGCGCTGCAATCCAGCTCCTCAACTCGGCCCGTGAGGCCGACCCAAGCCTGGGTCACACCCAGTCAGCTTACCACTTGGGTGGACTTGGGTGGTTTGGAGCCGAGTTTCTGTGGTTTGGGCTCGGTGAATTGGAGGGGCTTCCCATCTACCCGCAGAACCACATCCAAAACACCAAGCCAAACTACCATCTAAGGGTAACCTGAAGTAGGATGAAAATTGGGCACTGCCGTTTGGTTGCTCATGTGCAGTTGGCCGACGGGGGGGGGGGGGGGGAACAAACTAGAGAAAAAGGAGCCTTCTGCAAAACTGGGAAACATCCACTCTGGCCGTCGCTGGCTGAACTGTGGTGCCATTGACCTGGAAGGACAGATTGCCCTCGTAGGCCATGATGCCTACTGACCATGCTGTCGCCTCAGCTGGATCCAAACATACAATCCTGGCCTTGCTCGTCGCCCATGTTGACCCCCAGACGCACCGACAAGCTGCAAAGGTGAGGCTGCTTTTGGTCAAGTAGCCTTTACCACTGCAGGATTGCTCGAGATTGCCAAAAGGGCCACCGAGTTCAGAAGCATCGCAATAAAGGACACACCGCAGGAGCACAGCATCAAGGGCCTCAGTCATAGGCCAATGCCATGCTCTGCGTTAGCTGTATTCCAAATCTCGGAATAAGATGGAGATAATTTCCTTCTTTCAGGGCCGACACCATTTAAGAGATGCCACATTTGTCGACATATGCACAAATGTCAATATGTCCTTGCCTGGTGGATAGCTTGGCGCGCTTCAACGCAAGGGATCTATGATTCTGCAGCTGCGAAACATGCCTACAAGTTGATGCCAAGTTCGTTTGAGTGAACAAATGCCCATGCTCCTCCACATTTACCCTGGTCCTCAGGACGTAACATGCCACCGAGGTGTTAATCTTGTTCATCGTTTACTGCTAGATTGATCTTTTAAGTACCCCACAACTTGGTTGCTGTCGACCCCTCTCCCAAAAGTGTTCAACTTTCTGTGTGTCCAATGGAAAACCCGAATGATCCCGAATGAATTCAGCCGAAAAGTACAGGTCTAAAGATCCAAGCCACTAGCAATCAAGACACCCCCATGCTAGTTATTTGGTCAAAGATGGGGTAACGGCAAAATGGAGCCCTAGGAAATGGAACCCATTCTGGGGCCCCTGCCACCGCCCACACGCGCCCACCCAAAACCCCAGCCCCCCAGTCCCCCACGCCTTCGATGCCTGCGGCCGCAGCTGACTCCCATCGACCCCAAGGTTCGGCAGCAGATGTTGGTCTCGATGCAAGGGCTCAGCTTCATGAAGTGCTGGCTGGCCGGCAGGGTGTACTCGTTGGAGAAGTGCCGCAGGCAGGACTTCTCAGGGCTTCCTGACAACAAACAAGCAAACAAACAAGCAAACAAGCAAACAAACCAAACAAATCGGAGATGTGTTGCAGAATGCAAAGGATAGAAGCAAGCATGCAGAACTGCAAGGCAAGCAATTGAGGAAGCCAGCCAGCAAGCAAGCCATGCAGCCAGCCAGCAAGCTAGTCAGCAAACAAGCAACCAAGCCAGCCAGCAACTAAGCAAGCAAGCAACTAAGCAAGCACCAATCAGCAGCACCAGTCAGCAAGCCAGTCAGCAAGCCAGTCCGCAAGCCAGTCAGCAAGCCAGTCAGCAAGTAAGCAGGCAAGCCAGCTATCCAGCAGGCAAGCCAGTCAGCAAGAACGCCAGCAACCAAGCCAGCCACCCAGCAAATAAGCAAGCAAGCAAGCAAGCAAGCAAGCAAGCAAGCAAGCAAGCAAGCAAGCAAGCAAGCAAGCAAGCAAGCAAGCAAGCAAGCAGGCAGGCCAATGCAAGGGAGAACGCAAGGAAGCAAAGCAAATAAGCAACCAAGCAAGCAAACCAGCCAACCAGCCAGCAAGCAAGCAACCCAAGGATGGAAGCAAGAAAGCAGCAAACATGGATGAAAGCAAGAAGCAAGCACGCCAGCAAGCCAGCCAGCAAGCCAGCCAGCCAGCCAGCAAGCCACCCAGCCAGTCAGCAAGCCACCCAGCCAGTCAGCCAGCCAGCAAAGCAAGCAAGCAGAGCTTTGTTGTATAAAGTGTTGCATCTAGGCAAACAGCCGCGCAAGTACGCCGCACACCGTTCCTTTGATGCTTCTGCTGGGGAGAACTTAACGGAACCTATGCAGGCCATTGCTTCATCCAACCTGACTTGTCAAGAGCATTTTCCTTGACCCCTTGAAATGGGCCACACATGATGCACTGCACAGCCCTTAGGACGCGCTATCAGAAAGCCAGGCCCTGAGGAAACGGCTTCGTGGCCCATTTTGCGGTGGCCCTCCCGGCGCGCAGCGATCCGAGCGGCTGGTTGGAGCACAAAAGCCGCCGCAGATCGGAAGGCGATAGATGCACTCGCGGAGATGCTCCATTTGGAGAGACCGACTACACGGCCTTTGACAGAGATGCCCTTGAAGCGATGCCCTTGAAGCCCAAACGCGGCTTCAAACAAACGATAATCACACGAGCAACTCTTTTCAGCCTCAGTTTTGCACTGCGGCAGGTGCACCAATTCAAACACACTATATTGAACGCAATCACCTGTACGACGATGCTTTGCCAAACAAGCCCCTCGCTTGGCGGAATAGCTCACGCGACCCTCCAACATGCTGAGTCACTTTGCTTAGCGGCTCGAACATGCACTGATGAACCACCGGCAGGGTAATGTTTGCTCCAAAGGCGCGATTGGGACACATCAGCAGGCGTCCCAGCTAAGTTTCAGCACAACGCGATTGGAAAAAGAAGAGCAACACAACAACTTCACGGAAATGCGTTATTGCACAAAGCTTAGTTCAAATTGGATCTCAATTTTCATACCCAAGCGTCGATTCATGAGGCTCGGGCAGGCCCCATCTACTGCCCATCCAAACAAAGTGCATCAATTGCCATCTAAAAACTGGCGCATCCCATGCCCTTAAGCTAGAAGGGCCCAACCCAGGCTGCAAAAGTTGGAAGCGATTGTGGTTTCGGTCAGGTGAACTTTGCGGTGGTCGTCAATTGAGTTTACTGGCATTCCGGCACAGCCTCCTGGCTAGGACAAGCAGGCGGCTTCAGAACTGCCTTTTTCACTGGCTTACTGCGAAGCAACCATGAGCTCAGGCATGAACGATCACTCAGGTCCCCAGCACCGGGGGCAGTTCAAATGGGTGGGACACAGGTGGCGAAAGCTTGGGTCGGGGATCTGTGTAGTGGGTCCCAAACACTCTTTGGTACAATATGCTTTTCCCAGGACCCCACCCCCGCCCTCCCAAAAAAAGACAAGTGTACAATCGCTTGCCTGCCCCCCCCGCTGTGAGCCGTGTTTTCCTCTTGCCCCCTCCCCCTTTCCAATGGGTGTACCATGGGTGTACCATGGGTGTGCCATGTTTTTCTCGCTCAACCTCTTGCTGCGCTGGGACCCAGCACGCAACCCGTTGCTCAAATGCAACGAATGACCGGTGCCGACCATCCAAGGCTTGACCCGGAGATGAGGTGAACCATGCGGCTTACGTTGGTTTCGCTCCATGTGGCGCACACTCCCTCAGGCGAACATGGAAGCTCCCAGACTCCCTAGGCCTCTGTAAATGGACACACGTCTCACAAAGGAATCCTGGGAGCTTCCATGTTAGTCTTGGGGAGGGTATGACCCATGCGACCTTTCGCAGTGAATATGTATACATATATATATAATGTATACATCTATTAATATACACATATTTAAATTTGTAGAGTCCCCTTGCGTCTGCACCGGTCCCGCGTCAACTTTAAAAATCGCAGGTGCAACCTAGCCTACGAAACGAGCCAGTATCTATTAACAAGCAAGTTTGTCCGGAATGAGCTTGCAGCAAAACCATTGGATATCCGAGTGCGACAACAGCCACTGCAGGTCCTGCTAACTGATAGATACTTACTCTTTGCTCATAGCCAAACATGCTGAACCTCAGCATCTCTGGAGCCTAAAGCCTCGGCTACCTTCATTCAGGTTAGCTGGAGAGGTACACCAGCATGGACCTCTTTGCGCCGAGCACATGCAGCTCCGATCCATCATCTTACGCCCCAAGGCGGCACTGAATCACTGAGGGAACAGGTGCCAGGTGCCCATACACACACACACGAACAGAACTCACCCACAGCTCTCAGACATATCCCTAATCCAAATTCGACATTTCACCAGGCTCCCGGCCATTTCGGGATGTTGACCATGATCTTCCCCGAATCGTCGGCCTCGCGGTCCCCCTTTTGCTGGGGCTGATGGCTCCCGTCGGGTGGTGTGGGGTCTGGGCATCCAAATCAACTCGACGTGGGCCATGATTCCTTAAGCCACGGAGATCGTGGAGCTCCAACATGGGCACTTGCTTTGAGTCAATCCACAAACATCTTTCAAGCAAACAAACACATGCAGTTGTCAGTCATGCCAGCGAGACTTTGCCCTCACTGGAAGCAGGCATTCTTGACAACTTGGCGTGTGCTGAATGTGGTCCGGGATTACGCAGAATCGTCGAGATGAGTCCGTGCGAGCATACTGCCTCGCATGTGCTGCGTCCTTCGTGCACGCACGTGCATCGGCACATTGGCACTGTGAAATGCAGTGAGCTACTGCGCTGCATGGTGCGTTGTGTAAAAGTCCCTCAAGCAGAGATCCCTAAGCTGGTCAGCATAGTCACGGGAAGTTTGACCACTGATGCCTATTAGACTCGAAAGCAAAATGCGGAGGAGCTCCACGACTCCAGGGATTCCTGTTGGTTGGCTGATTGAAGGTGGGAACATTGAAGCTGGCTGATTTGGCTAACACATGCGAGCGGATCTCAACTTTAAGGCGTGCTCTGCAAAAACGGGTCAACTAGTTAGGAAGGCTATTAGTCCATGGCATTTTCGGTATGACTGAAATTTCAGACATCAGCCTCTCCCTGTGATCCTTTTCCTCTCGCTCCAGGCTCCGACCGCGCTTGCGGCTTACTACCCTGGGTTGATTGGCTCGCGCAACTTCGCGCAAGTCTGGAAGCATTTCCTGGGCGCATGCGTTCACTAATGCCCGCCCTCAAGGAAATTCAGAAATGACCAGCAAGCCCTAGAAGATGCTGTCAGCAAGGTGCAGATATTGCACGTTAGTCAGCCATCTGACACCAAGCAGCGTACACAAACTCTGGACCACACAGGACCAAGACAAAGCCAGAATGCTGCAATCCGGAAACAAGCCTTAACGGTGTTGAGGTCAAACATGTACCCTTCATGTTGACAGTCAGAATTACACCCTTCCACGTTGACATGCAGCCCAGCACCGACTTTTTGCTGGAAATTCCTCGCTCGAAAAACGCACAGCACGCAAAGCCTTCAAGTGAATGGCAAGCTGCCGCAAAGCTCTCATCCATCTCGATGGATGCAATTTCCTCTTGCTGAGCGGCCTGCGTAGCAAAACTCGGTAACCACATTCTTGTTCCAACCGAACTGCGGTCAACACCTGGTTCGGGCCCGTTTGGCATCTTTCCAAGTCTAACAGAAAAACAAATAACTACAATTCACCCGCCGTTTAGGCCAGCATGGAAAGTGATCATATTGGATGACGAGCGAAAAAGTTGCCCTCGCCCTGGAAGACACCAACATACATGAGTTTGGATCCCCTCTACCTTACGGGGGGAGGGGGGTGGGGGGTCCCACAATTCCATTTATTCAGTCTTCCCCAGAAAAGGGAAATGGAACCCTAAATGGAATTCCACTCCCGCAATTCCATTTTGAAGGGGGTGGGGATGAGCACTCGCAGAGGCGGTTTTTGGCTTTGGAGGAAACATGCGCCAGGTTGATTGATCCGCTTCTTGGCGGATGATCCGAGCAGGAAACTGAATCCAGTGTTGCTTGGAAGCCCCGTCCAGTCCCACTGCGGCGTGGGAAAAATGCAACAACAACAAAACACTGGTCCAAAACTAACCGATGAACAGTCCCCCTTACCACAACACAAACAACTAACAAAAAATGGTTTCACATAGTGCCCTTTGATCTTGGAACAACAATTTCCATATACAACGCCGTAATATCATGAAACATGTGATTTGCAGCCCCCAACTAAAATGAACAGAACCAATAAGAAAACCAAACAACAAACAACTTGACCCAAGAACAGAAGTCCTTCCGGCAGATCACAAACAAAAGCTTGGAATTGGTCACTCGGGGAACGAGTCTTTGCACCAAAAGACGGTAGTTGGTGGATCCGTGAAGCCAACATTGGGATGTGTCAAAAAGTCCACGGCCTAAAAAAAAAAAGAAGCCCGCCTTGAGCGCCTCCAGCGCGGGACCAGGTGGCATGCTCCTCTCCAGCGCCCTTAGCCGCAAATGCCTTCCCGGGTTTTCGGGCTCCCCTGAACCTCGATTTCCTCGAAATGGCACATTGTTAATGGGGGCTGGGGGGGAGGGAGGGGGGGGGGGGAGACCCAACAAGCCCCAAATAAGGCCGTAGTGGGGCAAAAAATGCCTTTTTTGGGCTCCTTCCATTTGGGCTCCCCCCATGAACTGTGCATTCGGAATTGTCACGTCTTCCACAGGCATGGAATGCAATGCATGAATTGAATGAGTTGCGCCTCGCCAGTCGTAATCTTCATGTTCACGGCTGAACAAGCTTTGGCACTTGACTTGTCGCCCTGAAACCGATGCCAGCCGCTTGTTCCCGAATAGAAAGCATCATTTTTGCGTGAAAGCACAAGACCAAAAGAACACCCTGGAGGGGCCGACACCCTGGCAAGCAAGCATCGAAGTCCAGCGGCCCCCTTTCGGCAAAACTGCCAACCTTCTTTGAAAAGAAAGCCCTGGCACTTCCATGTCCGTTGCTCAAACATATGTCAACCACTGACTATCGCTCAAATCACCTTCTTCTGACTTTCCCTTTAAAGGGAGCCGGGGGTTGGTCCTGTTCAACTCACCTTCTTTTGGTTTCTTTTTAAAGCTTTGAACCAAGCAGGTTGGTCCTTGCAACACGTCACGACTTTCGCCCTCGCGACTGGCGACGCGGCTTGGCCGCCGGGCTCCATGAAGAGCTCTGCATACACCGCCGGCGCCAGCAGCCGTTGCAGCAGCGGCGGCCACGGCGAGGGCGCGAGGTGGGCGTCGACGCTGTCCACGCGCTCGCCGTGGAGCCAAAGAGTCAGCAGCCAGCGGCGTGCCTACGCCAACCCCCCGTTTGCGTGTTCGTCCGCTTCAAAACCAACTGGGGAAGATACAACATATTTTCATCAAATGGAAGCAACTTGGTCATCAAAAATCCAGTGACAGATTCCCTTCAAAATAAACTGGGAAAGATACAACATATTTTCAGCAAATGGAAGCAACTCACTCACTCAACACATTCAACGGCTGCATCCAACTGATAAATCCGCCGACCCCTTCCCAGAAGGGGAAGCGCATAGGAAGGGTGCCACGGGGGGATGTTGCTGTTGCTTCATCATTGTTTTGCTTCAGTATCATTGCGTCATCTTCACGATTCCTTTGCGCCAGCATCGCCATCATCATCGTCCTATCGTCATTTCTTATGGATGCCAAATGTGACGTCAGGACTTGGTGGAAATGCTGGGGATGCTTTGGGAACGGGTTGCCGGTGGTAATGCCGGGGTGTTGTTGCTTCATCATTGCTTCTGCTTCGTTATCATGATCATATCTTCATCGTTCCTTTGAAACATCATCAGCATCATCATTGTCATCCTCACCATTATCATCGCCATCGTCATCATCACCATTTCAATCATCATCGTCATCATGTGTCGTCTATGGAATTCACATGTGTCGTTTCGCCTCCAAGGGCATGGCCGCCCGTGGTTTTCCGGCCAGCTATGAACACTACAAGTCTGCGTTGACTAAAAGGCATCAGTCATTGCTGGTTTAGCTCAGATTGTGCACCATTCTGGGAATGAGGAAACTCTGAGTCAGCCTTAACACGCGATACTTGTTTCCAAATGTAGTCCCGTTGCATCCCTAGCACCGAGGCATGGCCATCAACTACCGCGGAGTGAAGCAAACAAATTTCAACAAGTCGCTTTCCACAGAACGTCCGTTTGCTTGGCTCGCATGAGGATTGCAAGCCGCTTCTGCCCGGATGTTGCATTTGCTCATCAATCAACGAAACTCGGACGGCCACATGCGCAAGGAGCCAGAAAGAACTCGGGCTAAACCCAGAGAAACGTCTTCTTCCTGCTTGAACCAGCTTTCTGGTGAAACGCAAGATAAGCTAAGCTACTCTTCGGGCCAGCTCTCTCCTCGGCCCATGCCTCGCCCAAGCCCGTGCGCCTGAGCGTCCTTGGGGGCTAGGGAAGAGTGAAGCATGCGATCAGAGAGAAACACCACGGCGCGGTTGAAGAGCGGAGCCACACTCACCGCACCTGGCCGCGAGGTTTGATTTAACGCTCAGCCCACGATGCGGACAGGTTTTGCTGACAAAAAAGGCGCAGGGGAAGTCATCCTTGATAGGCTACTCCCGGAAAAATGATGCAAAACTTAGACAAAGAAAACTCCCAGCAGCTTCTAGCAAACAATCTTATCTAATGTTGCCGGGTCACACAAGTCATCCCGTGCATAGTCTGGAGATTAGCTTCTAGGATTCCCATCCAGAGTCCATTCTTGTTCCTCGCCGTCTGTTCCAAACATTGCCCGGCGTGGTCAAAGCAACCACGGCCTACTTGCTTCTTTCTGTCAGCGGTCTCCCATGGATTTGTTCCTGGTTGCCTGCACAGCCGTTCTCGGGGGCAGCCTGACTGGAACCAGCCAACGGCATGGATTTACCACATGGCTTCGGGCATGGCTTCCAGCATGTTGTTTCTCTTAGAGCGTGCATTTCGATTAAAGCGGACAGCTGCCAGATTCGCCTGTTCAGACAAACAATCCCGGAACCAACATACAATCTCATGCCACGTCTGCTCATCGGATAGCCCAACACCTCACGGTCGCCCAAGAAGCACCAGCAGCCAAGTCACAGTGCAAATTGACGCAACAAGGACACCGTCCCGGCCTCCTGTTTTCAAACCCGCCTCATGTCCCCTGCCTCATGTCCCCTGCAAATAGTTCGGCATGCCCCACGCGTGAGCCCAAAGCCACCAAACGCCATTTCAAAAGCAACACGTCACACATGGTCACAGGTCAAAATCCCGCACCCCCAGTGAACATCCCAATCCCCACTAAAATAGGTTCTAAAATGGGTGGTGCACCTACCCCAAAATGGGATCCCATTGGTTTGACCCACAGCCGCATGC